TCACTAATCATCAAGGGAATGCAAATCAAAACCACAATGAGATATTACCTCATACCAGTCAGAATGACTAGTACCAAAAAGACAAGAAATAATGAGTGTTGGTGAGGTTGTGGAGAAAAGGGAACTCCTGTGCACTGTTGGTGGGAGTAGAAACTAGTGCAACCACTACAGAAAACAGTATGGAGATTCCTCAGAAAATTAAAAATGGAAATACCATATGATCCAGTAATTTCACTGCTGAGTATCTACCCAAAGAAAATGAAAACACAAATTTGAAAAAGATACATGTACCCTTATGCTTATTGAAGCATTATTTACAATAGCCAAGATACAAAAGCAACCCAAGTTGTGTGTATATCTACATATCCATATATATCACATCTTATTTATACACACACACACTCACACACACACACACACTCACATACTGGAATATTACTCAGCCCTAAAAAGGAATGAGATCTTGCCATTTGTGACAATATGGATGAACCTAGAGGGCATCATGCTAAATGACATAAGTCAGACAGAGAAAGAAAAATACCATATGATTTCACTTATATGTGGAATCTAAAAAGCAAAATAAGTGAAAAAACAAACAAACAAAACAGACTCTTAAATTTAGAGAATAAACTCGTAGATGGCAGAGGGGAGGTAGGTGAGAGAATGGGTGAAATAGAGGAAGGTGATTAAGAGGTATAAACTTCCAGTTACAAAATAAATAAGTCACAGAGATGTAAAGTACAACATAGGGGACACAGTCAGTAATATTGCAATAATTGTGTATGGGACAAACGGTAATCACACTGATTGTGGTGAGCACTGAGTAATGTCGAGAACTGTCAAGTTATTATGTTGTACACCTGAAACTAATATTACATGTTGACTATACTTCAATAATAAAAAAATTGAAAAACAAAGTAAAAACAAAAGCTATCTCATTAATTGGCAAACATTTAACAACACCTATTATGTGCCACGCATCCTGCTAGAAACTTGAGATACCAAGACGCCATTTTTTCACTCAAGGAGAATATAAAGAGATAATTGTTTAATAGGGTGTTAAGTGAAGTACTAAAGTAGAAAGGTTAGGACTAACCTGTTCCCTCACACACAGACCACAAGGGTTAAGAGACTGAACATACAGTCCTACCATTTCTCTCAACCATTTCCTTTTTTCCATCCCTCCAGGCTTTACCATCTCTTAACTGAACTAGTCTAACACCTTCCTTTCTCCCTGCTTCCAATCTCACTTTTGCTGACCTAACTTTCACTCTCCTACCAGAATGATCTTTTTAATTGAAATCAACATATCTGGAATATAGTAGAAATGAATAAATATCTATTGAATAATTAATATCACTCCCCTGCTTAACACAATTCAGTAAATTCTTAATTTACAGAGAGGTGCTTGCAAATGTTCCCACTGATTTGTCCGTACTGAGAAGGGGAAAGAAAACACATAAATCCCTGAAGGTATGATTCAGTAAAATGCACAAATGTAAGATGTACAGCTTGATAACATTTTACATTTGCACAAATACATGTCCACCACTCAGATCGAATATAGAACATTTTCATTTCACCCAGAAATGTGTTCTCATGTTGCTTCTCAGGTCAATCCTCCTTCCCAGAGTTAACCACTATTCTATCTTCAATCACTATACATTCATGTTGCCTATTCTTGAACTTCATATATTCAATGCAATCTTATAGTATGTACTGTGATTTACTGGAGTATCATTATTTTATACCCAGTCCCCTTTCTTTTTTTCAGACTTTTTTATTTATTTGAGAGAGAGAGCGAGCAGTAGGGAGGGGTAGAAGGACATAGAGAGAGAGAATCTCAAACAGACTTCCCCTGAGTGTGGAACCCAATGCAGGGCTCGATCTTACAACTCTGAGATCATGACCTAAGCCAAAATCAAGAGTCAGATTCTCAACCAACTGAGACACCCAGGCACCCTGGCCAGTTACCTTTCCTAGAATATCTCAGATAGAAATTTCCATCCCAAGCTCCAAGACACCCAGTGGCCACTCTCAGGGCCCCACTCTCCATACTGATTTCTTTGCTTACACCAAAACCTATTTCCTATAGATATCAATTAGAAAGGATCTCAAAAACAAATTCTCATTAAAGGAAAGAAGACACAGATCATGTATATCAAGGAAAATATCCTCATGATTTATAACTAACAGGTTATATCTGTATAAACATATGTTTGAGGATTGACTAATCAGATAATGTCACCTCGATTCAAGAAATTAATTGCCTAATTGTGGACCATCAGAGCCAAAGACAAATTTGCCATGAAGATATGTGAGCAAAAGGAAAATATCCAGAAGGAATGGAAGAAAAATTAGCATTAACTGAGAGCTTATTATAGTCTAGGCAAAGTGCTAGCTAAGCGCTGGGTATTTGAAAATGAATATGCCACACTATTGCTCTAAATTGGTATTACTTTTTTAAAAAGATTTTATTTATTTATTTGACAGAGAGAGTGAGAGAGAGAGAGAGAGAGCACAAGCAGGGAGAGCAGCAGAGGGAAAGGGAGAAGCAGGTTCTGTGCTGAGCAGGGATCCCAATGTGGGGCTCAATCCCAGGACCCCAGGATCATGACCTGAGCCAAAGGTAGACGCTTGACTGACTGAACCATCCAGGTACCCCTGGTATTACTTTTTAAAAAATTTTATGTCTTTGTCCCAGTAGCTCCACTTCTTTAAATTTATCCTAAAGATATATTCAAACATGAACAAAAATATAATTAGAACTACCCAAATATGTGGGAATTATTAAATAAATTATACTAAGTCCATATGGTTGAGTAACACAGAACCCTTAAAAATATACTCAAGATATATTTAGTGAAAAAATAAATATTCAAAATATGAAGTTAAGTTTCTTTTTTAAAGCAGGCTATAAGTTCATAGCTATGGTGTGATACAAATTATGTGTGTGTATATATGCATGAGTACATGTGCTGATAGGATATATGTATTAATACACACACTCATTTACATTTCCCCACACTGTGACTAAAAGTGCATATTTCAGAATAACCTTTGTCAGTAATAATATATTTTTTCATCTTTGCCAACTGGATATGCCAGGATATAATGTTATTTTAATTTAGATTTTTAGATAGTAATAAGTATTTTGCAAATCTTTGATTCAGAATTAATGAGGATATGACAGTAAAAGTACTAATACTCTGCTGGTGGTAGGAAAATTGATAGTTACTTTCAGGGGCAATTTGAAAGTAGCTATTAAAATGTTACCTGAAGATACTCTATGACAATCAATTCCACTTTTCAGGATCTGTCTTAGAGAAACAACTTACATATATATCCAAGGACATATATACACACTGCAACATTGTTTGTCATAAAAAAACAAAAATAGCCTATGTTCTCATCAACCAGAGAAGGGGTAGACTATGGTTTATCACATACCAAAAATATTATACAGCAATGAAAAATTATGAAGTAATTTTAAAGGTTGACAGAGACAGATTTTCAACATATTTTTAAGTAAAATACAAAGGGAAAAATAATACAGAGTATGATACTGTTTTTGTAAAAATAAAGCAAAAAGCAATGTTACACATATTCCCAAATTACAAGTGTATTATGAAGATGCACAAAATAAAAAGGACAGTCAAAAGAAGATATGCTATCCATCTACCTACACACACACACACACAATGGAATATTACTCAGCCACAGAAAAGAATGAAATCTTGCCATTTGCAATGATATGGATGAAGTTAGAGTATTATGTTAAGCAAAATAGGTCAGTCAGAGAAAGACAAATACTGTATGATTTCATGCATATGTGGAATTTGAGAAACTAAACAAATGAACAAAGGGGAAAAAAGAGAGAGAGGCAAACCAAGAAAACAGACTCTGAACTACAGAGAACAAATGGAGGGTTACCACATGGGAGGTGGGTGGGGGATGGGTGAAACAGGTGATTTCACAAGGAGAGCACTTGTGATGAGCACCAGGTGTTGTATGGAAGTGTTAAATCACTATATTGTACACCTGAAATTAATATAACACTCTGTTAACTAACTAGACTTTAAATAGAAACTAGAAAAAAAAAAAAGATATCCAAAATAGTGATAATGTGGTTACATTTGAGGAAGACACTGGGTTTGGTGGGAACATGGTCAAAGGAAATTTTAATATTCTCAGTATTTTGTTTCAAGAAGAATGCATTAATTTGGAACTATATGCTCATTTAGAAATAAACATTATTTTTAAAAATCAAATTGCTTGGGGCATCTGGGTGGCTCAGTCGTTAAGCGTCTGCCTTCGGCTCAGGTCATGATCCCGGGGTCCTGGGATCAAGCCCCACATCGGGCTTCCTGCTCAGTGGGAAGCCTGCTTTTCCCTCTCCCATTCCCCCTGCTTGTGTTCCCTCTCTCGCTATGTATCTCTCTGTCAAATAAATAAATAAAATCTTTTAAAAAAATAAAAATAAAATTGCTTCCTGAATACACCAAGTTCTGCTATAAAGATTATATGGTATTTTTTTTTTTATCAAAACCAACTAATTTATATAATGAAGAGCTACATGCCCACATGGCTAGGTGTATCTAAACTAACTCATATGTAAACATAGAAATCTTTTTTTTTTTTTAAGATTTTATTTATTTATTTGACAGAGAGAGACACAGTGAGAGAGGGAACACAAGCAGGGGGAGTGGGAGAGGGAGAAGCGAAGCAGGCTTCCCGCGGAGCAGGGAGCCCGACGCGGGGCTCGATCCCAAGACCCTGGGATCATGACCTGAGCCGAAGGCAGACGTTTAACGACTGAGCCACCCAGGCGCCCCTAAACATAGAAATCTTTAGCCAAATTTATAATTAATGAGTTTAAGTGTTGGCTCATGTTAAGTTTCATACACATCAGAGTACACAAGTGAAAAATTCCTGTCTACTTGCACAACTTTTACTGTTTAAACCGTTTGGAATCTAGTGGATTAGGAAGTTGCCTTGTTGGTTTCAGTTACAACAGACTTCATCACATCAGAAATTTTACTTGTTGTTAACCTTTAAAGAAATTCAGACCTAGGAAAATTCCCAAAAACCTTCAAAAAGGCAGGTAGGTCATAAATCACTAAATTTTAGCCAATCTGACTATTTCTTGCCCTTAATCTTAATAAGTATTAACTATTGTTAACTATCATATAATGCTTTACCTTATAAATGTGATCATTTGCAACAAAAGCATTAGTTTATGAGAAAGCATACATAAATATTTCCCTTTAGGCTAATCGTTAAAAGGATTTTAACAGGATATTATTCTAGAAACATAATCTATCTCATTTCATTTTTGTTTTGTTTTGTTTTAAACAATTATACTTCAGGAAAAAAAGTAAGGGAGGGAATGGTATTTGGTAATAAAAAGACAGCTAAACTTAAAATACTCTAGAGCTAGGAGAATTTTTATGGTGAATTTTTAATAAAGACAGGTACTTTTTTTTCCCTCTTTCACAAACTAAATTTATTTATACTTTCTTAATGAAGTAAAAGAAACTTAGCCCGTTATTTTCCTCTTTGTAATAGCTAACATAAATGTGTAACTTCATTACTTCCTCCCCAAGAAAGATTTAATGGTGGGATGTTTCTTTCCTTCCATTTTCTTTTTTCGGCTAGAAATAGAAGAATGAGAAGGACTGTCTTCAGCGGTGTTTTTATGTTACTCTGCCTCTTGAGTGGTAAGTCATTAAGAAAACATAAATCAGGGGCGCCTGGGTGTCTCAGTTGGTTAAGCAACTGCCTTTGGCTCAGGTCATGATCCCAGGGTCCTGGGATTGAGTCCCACATCGGGCTCCCTGCTCGGTGGGGAGTCTGCTTCTCCCTCTACCTGCTCTGCCTGCCACTCCCCCTGCTTGTGCTCTCTCTCTCTGTCAAATAAAAAATAAATCTTTAAGAAAGAAAACATAAATCAAAAAGAGGGAAAATTATCTAAAAGATTGCAGAATTACAATATCAGTGGAGGAGGACCTTAAATAAGGTAATTAAGGTGTATATAGCAAGGCCTAAGGAAGCACTTTTAAACAAGTAGGGCAAGCTAACACTTATTGAGCATATACTATATGACAGGAACTGTTCTAAACATTACATTTGCATTAATTCATTGAACCCTCATGACAACCCTATGAGTTACATCCTGTTATTTCCCATTTTGTAGATGAGAAAACTGAGCTTCTAGATAGCCCACTTGTTGCTATTGTTATCACTAAGCTGGAGCTAACCGAGTCTGGAAGCTCTTATAAATAGGCAAAGAGGGGCACCTGGGTGGCTCAGGTGGTTAAGCATCCATTCTTGATTTGGGCTCAAGTCATGATCTCAGGCCTGTGAGACTGAACCCCATGTTGGGCTCCCTGCTCAGCAGCACAGAGTCCGCTTATCCCTCTCCCTCTGTTTCTCCCAAACTCTCTCTCACTCTCTCTCTCTCAAATAAAATCTTAAAAGAAAACAAATTAATTAAACCAAATAAGCATAGACACAGGCCTTCTAGCACTTTTCCTGTTCTTCTCCACCATCTCCAGCATTCCTTCATTTATAAAAGAACCGATAAAGGAGATAATAGGGCACTTTCAATTCCTTTTATAGGATTCCCAAGGCCCTTCATACTAGGTAGATATGCATGAAGGTAATACCTCCAAACAGGCATGTTCAAGCACCATTATAGGAACTCTCCCTCTCAGTGAAGTGGTAATATGATAATGAAGACAGTTACTCTATGCTGAACCCAGGATTCTCTTAGAGTCACAATATTTAATGAACAAATGAGTCACCTGGGAATCTTGCTAAAATGCAGAATCTGATTCAACAGGTTGGTGTGGGGCCCGAGTTTGCGTGTCCAACAAGCTTCCAAGTGATGGAAGATGTGTTGGTCTGGACACCGCATTTCATTAGGAAGAATCTAGAATGCCTCCCAGAGATAAATAAAATTCTAATATTGAGACTTGGAGGCTAGGAGCAGCAAAGACTGGGGTCACTAACTGAAATGCCTCAAGCATCTGGTCAGCTCATATCACTGGGGGAAGCTAGCAAACAATGAAACAAGAGGGGACAGCCAGTACCCAGCTACACACGTTTGCTGTCATAGAGAAAGGAGAGCCCAGCAATTACCAAACCTTCTGATTCTTCAAGAGAAACCAGAAATCAGGTTTGTAGGAAAACTCTCCCCATTTTTTAATATTCACAACTGATTTTTGAAAGCTCTGTGCACGTTAAACAAACCAGTCTGGCCCCTGGACCGCCAGTTTGTGGCCTTTGGCTCCCACACCACCCTCATCACTAAGTACAGCGCACAACAGGGAGGGGAGTGGGACACTCACACTGCAAAGCTTAGGTCTCGGCTGCATTGTACATCTTTCTACCAGCCTCTTGGAAAACCTGTGGAGAGGAGCATATGAATAGGTGGAAAATCACACAAGAACATCTTCAGTGTCTTGAGTATCATGAAAAAATGAGTCAGGAAGGGGACTGCATTAATTTTGCTGGATACACAGGGAAGATGCGAGAGTAAAAGAAGAAAATTCAGCATAAAGAGAAACCTTGAAGTAAGGAGTGGTGATTTAAAAAAAGCTCACCATCTGGGGCGCCTGGGTGGCTTAGTCAGTTGAGCATCTGACTCTTGGTTTCCGCTCAGGTCATGATCCCAGGGTCCTGGGATTGAGCCCAGTGCCATGATCCATGCTCACTATGGAGTCTGCTTCATTTTCTCTCTCTCTCCGTCTCCCTCTCTAAAATAAATAAATAAAATCGTTTAAAAAATAAAATGAAATAAAAACTAAAAGCTCACCATCATCATGATTTTATAATATATATTTAAATAACTAGATATGATCTACAATATACCTTTAAATAATTATATTTAAAAAAATCTCTCGGATGTTTCCTGTTAATAAATAAAGTTATAGAAGAGTATAGTTCAGAATTAATCATGTAAAGAAACTATTCATTTTACTTAACACCCGAAGCTTTAAATTTAGTTGTCAAATTGGAATATATCATGTTATATTAATGTTAATAAAACCAACAATAAATTTTCAGATAAAAAGACACTGGAAGAAAGGAAATGGGATCTGAGAAATATTTATAAACACTTAGGCAAATGAACAGATATAGACAACAAAAAGCCTAAAAATTAAGGTATCATCTTCAGCCATAAAGAATGCCAGAGCCAAGGTTTTAGGAAGAAGGTTATGGATACTAGGTGTGGGATCAGGAGGCAGAAGGACCCTCTGAGAGGGAGGGAAAGAGGCTAGAGCAGATCTCCCCCGGGGAAACTGTCCATGGGCCTCAGGCAAGGCAGAAAAAGAGCTAGCCTCCTCTGAGCTCTCCACCTTGGGGGGACCACTGGCACCAAAGGTCCAAGCCATGCAATGGATCTCTAAGGGCAAGTAGTGAGACTGAGAAGCCATTAAGGGCAGGAGGAAAACTATCTCGGGCACGTCTTAAAGAACTAAGCAGCCCCAGTATTCTCGGCAGACAATGGACCCAGAATCCAGTAAGAATCGAAATATCCAGAAAGAAAAGGGCAAGATTAGGAGGTTTGGGATACAAAAATGGTAGGCAGCTCTACGGACACAGTGTGCTTGCTTAGAACAAGGGCCTTAGATTGCAATAGACCTTTTTAAACTCCTGTCTCTGTGACTTGCACAAGCTACTTAAAATCTTGAGGCTTAGTTTTCTTTTATGTGAAATGTGAGCAATGATAATACCTTCCTGGAAGTTTCCTGTGAGAAATGATTGAGATAATGCATGTCAATTGCCGAGCAGAGTCCTTGGCATAAGCTTAGTTCTTAAAAACAAATATTTGTTGATGGATTGTTGATTATGGATTGAAAGTCTGGCACGCTCAGAGAGAGAACCAACAGGAAATTTCCAAAGTATCTTGAGAGGAGGTTGGACTTGTAGAGAATAGTCAACAGAGGTTAATTAGCCTCATCAGCCAGACTATTTTCTCTTAAAAGTGATATTTTCTAACACTGAATATGGTAGACGGAGATGGAAAATACAATATGCAAAATGTCTAGTACACTCTTCTTTTGGGTTGTCAATAGGAGTGACACAGCAATGGTCTTCCTATGTTAAAAGATGGGAACTACGAACAATGAGACAGATTTGGTCTAAGTTTCAGAAGAATCTTTGAACGATCTGAAGTGTTTTTAATGGGGATGAGTCACTAGCCAAGGCTCCCTGCAGAAGTTGGTATAAAGGAGATTTCTGAATTCAGGGGAACTAGTGGTTCTCAAACACTGGTCCAGATCATATGCCCTCAGCTGTTTCTGCATATCTGAAATACACATTTCCGAGCCCCACCTCCTACAGATTCTAACTCAGGTCTGTAGAGCCTCTTGGAATCTGTGTTTATTTTATTTTAACTATTTATATAAATGGGATGCACAGTCAAATTTGGAAACCAATCTTCTAGATAATGGCTTCCAATCTTACCTACGTTGTTTAAGTTCAAGAATCTCGGGCTATTTCTATATAACCAAAATGAATAACATTTTAAGCCATTAAATTTAAGTGCTGAAGATAACCAATATGTAAACATTAATCAGGCAATAAATAGTCACAGAGAACCTACTATATATATATATATATATATTTTAAAGATTTTATTTATTTGGCAGAGAGAGACACAGCGAGAGAGGGAACACAAGCAGGGGGAGTGGGAGAGGGAGAAGCAGGCTTCCCGCTGAGCGGGGAGCCCGGTGCGGGGCTCGATCCCAGGACCCTGGGATCATAACCTGAGCCGAAGGCAGACGCTTAATGACTGAGCCACCCAGGCACCCCGAGAACCTACTATATATAATGTACTGTCTTAGACATTGAAGCGATGGCCTAATAGTGAATGGCTGAAATTAAATTTTCTGCCTAAATAACTGGTTTGATTTAATTAGGCACTGAGGAACTCAGTAAGTTTTTACCAGCTAAATTGTTTAGACCACCTGGCTTCATATCTAATTAGTATCTGTTCTGGGAGCTTCCAGTTCATGAATGTAGCATATGCTTTGACATTGCCCCCATTTTCAAAATAAAAATAATTTTCATTTATATGAGTTTTTAGAATTAATTTTTTAAATATTGCTTACCTTTTTAAGTTGAAAATCACTATTATCACTATTTTTTTCTCTCTCTCTCTTTCTCTCTTGCCGGTCTCACTTCTATTTTCCCCTTATTTTTTTTTTTTCTCCTATACTTTGGAGATGTTAGAGGTATGATTTGTAGATTATGCAACCTCTCAATGCCCTTCCATGGATGTCTTTTGGATTTCGGAACCTGCAGAACAAAACCTGGTCAGCATTGTATGAAACAGACTCACCTAAGAGGTAAGTCTTGACACTTACAAAAAAAATTATTGAAAATCAGTATAAGAAAAATCCTTACATAAGAGCAAACATTCACTGAACATTTACTACATAACAAATGTCATACTAAGGGCTTTACCTGGGTTACATTATGCCAACAAAATAATGATATGAGCTGGATCTTGTCACTATCACCATTTTTTTAAGATTTTATTTATTTATTTACTTATTTATTTATTTATTTGAGAGAAAGAGAGGGCATGAGTGGGGAGGAGCAAAGGGAGAGGGAGAAGCAGACTCCATGCTACCGAGCGCAGAGCCCAACGTGGGGCTTGATTTCACAACCCTGAGATCATGACCTGAACCAAAACCAGGAGTCAGATGCCCCACTGACTGAGCCACCCAGGCGCCCCAAGGATCTTGTCACTATCCCCATTTTAAAGATGAGAAATCTGAGGCATAGGGAGATTAAGAAATGTGCATGATGTTACAGAGCAGGTTAAGTGTTGGAGCCAGTATTCAAATTCACGTGCTTTGATTCCAGAGCATAGGCTCCTAGTGAATGTATATACTGCCTCACAAACACCACGCCCAGGAAGCCAGCCTTGTCTGCATGGGTTAAAGAGTAAATGCAGGGCGCCTGGGTGGCTCAGATGGTTGGGCGTCTGCCTTCGGCTCGGGTCATGATCCCGGGGTCCTGGGATCGAGTCCCGCGTCGGGCTCCCCGCTCGGCGGGAGGCCTGCTTCTCCCTCTGCCTCTCTCTCTCTCTCTCTCTCTGTCTCTCATGAATAAATAAATAATCTTAAAAAAAAAAGAGTAAATGCAAATATCTGAATGATGAAAACCTTAAAAGAAAATGCTGAAGAAGATATCTGAAGTTTGAAAGAGAGGAGGCCTCTTGAACATCCAAAAGACAGAGGCTGTAAAGGACATGACAGATAAATTTGAATACTTCGGTATTTTAAAATTTATAAAATGAATGACAACCCCAAAGTTTAAAAGATAAAGAATAAACTGGATGAAAATAGTTGAAATATAAATAACAGAAGAAAATATATAATACCTATCCAGAGAAAAGAACTTCCAAAAACAATTTTTAAAAAGACCCAACAATCGGGGGGGGGGGGGGGAGAAAAAGGTTTGTTAAAGGAAATGTAGGGACAGTTTTCAGAAGAAGAAATATAAACATAACCTAAACATATAAAAATATAAAAAGCTGCTCAACCCATCAGTAAATATCAAAGAAATGCAAAATTACAAAAATAATATATTTTTTGACCCATCAGATGATAAAAATTATAAAGGTTTATTATATCATGGGTTAGTGACAGTATGAGGAAATGAGAACTCTCATACATTTCCAGTGACAATTTAGATTAGTTTAGCATTTCTTTTAAAGATTTATTTATTTATTTGTGAGAGAGCATGCACACACCAGCAAGGAAAAGGACAGAAGAAGAGGGAGAAAGAGAATCCTCAAGCAGATGCTCCGCTGAGCACAGAGCCTAAACCGGGGCTCCATCTTATGACCCTGAGATCATGACCTGAGTTGAAACCAAGAGTCAGACACTCAACCGCCTAAGCCACCCGGGTGCCGCTAGTTCAGCAATTTTTTGGACAATTTGGGAATTTCCACCTGGATGGCTCAGTTGGTTGGGTGACTGCCTTCGGCTCAGGTCGTGATCCTGGAGTCCCGGGATCGAGTCCCGCATCGGGCTCCCTGCTCGGCGGGGAGTCTGCTTCTCCCTCTGACCCTCCCCCCTCTCGTGCTCTCTCTCTCTCTCTCTCTCTCTCATTCTCTCTCTCAAAATAAATAAATAAAATCTTTAAAAAAATCCATTAAACTTTTAAATGAACACAGACTTCTATAAAGCAATTCGATTTCTCGGTGTCTACTGCAGAGAAATATTTTACACGTGACACAAAAAGGCATGTTCTCAAAGTTACCCCTGGAGTATTATATTTAATAATAAAGTCATGGAAATGACCTAAATGATTGTCAACAGGAGTGAACATCATTTAAACTATGATGTATATTCGGGCCATGGAATGCTATGCAACTAGATCCCTTTGTTAACATGCGGAAAAAATCTCTAAAATATTGTTGAGCAGAAGAAAAGTCAGTTGCCAAACAGTACCAATTGGCATACCAATTATGAATAAAAACCTCCATGAAGCAAAACTCCACATTCCTCTATGGAATTGGAAGGAGAGAACAAAAGTTAGAGCAGATCAAAGTTAGTTGGGAGAGAAGAAGAGAAGTTGAGGGTCCTATGGGATGGGTTTTGATATTAAGAGGGTTATTTGAGCTTGTTCAGCCTGTCTAGCCTGAGTCCTCTCTCTAAGCCCCACATTCCCTCGGGCTCACACCTCTGCCAGTCAGGGCCCCTTTCTTGTGGACAGGGAAAGGGGTCAAGGCCCCCTGGAGCCATGAGATGCTGGCTCAGAGTGATTGCTCTTCTCTTCCTAAACACGGTCAGATTGTTATCAAGGGACTAAGTACTAAGGGACTCTGCACAGGAGGAAGAGTCTGGGAGCTGATGTGTCAGAATACTGACCATAGTTCTTGGTGCATTAAGGAAGTGGTTTGACTGCAGCACTGTGGGCAGAGCCATTTCCTAACTTGGAAATTTTGCTGTGAAACAAATAGAAATGGAACTTAACACTTTTGATGGCTTTATGAATAGGGTTTCTCATCTTTGATGCTACTGACACTTTAGCAGGCTAATTTTTTCTTATGCAGGGCTGCTTTATGTATTATAGGATGTTTAGCACATCGCTGGCCTCTACCCACTACACACCTGTAATATCTTCCAAGTTGTAACAACAAAAATGTTTCTGGCTGTTATCTAACATCCTGGGGGTGGGAGGCAAAACTGCCCCCCAGTTGAGGGACTACTGTTCTCCCAAGTTTCCGACCATCATATGTTTTGGTGCCTTTGGGGAATCCAGATCAGTGAAGCTGGGTATGCTAGGGTTAGAGGGCAGTACTGTCACTTATTTTGCACGTGTGTGTATTTTTCATATTTTCTGCAGTGAGCATGCATTCCTTCTGTAATCAGGGGGAAAATTAACTGAGGGCAAGGACCCTTGTCCATTTCTGAGAAGCACTTACACATCTAAATGATCCCTTCTGTGGCTTCAGCCCTCTGAGTAACTCATGACCTGGGTTAAGCTGGGGAAAGAGAACTTCCCAACAGCTAACGCTTCAGAAAGTCTCACACAATCAGTGGCAACTGCATGGCTTTTATCATCTGAGTTTGAAAGCTATTTTGTTTTAAAATTTCAAAACCTTTGTAGTGCAGTGTACCCTTCTAGAATACACTTAGGTGGGAGTTCTTAAAGGCAAAATGTATCCTGATAAACCTAGAATTTTTTGCTTTGCCTTTTTTTTTTAACCTGTTAGTTACTTGAAGCATCTGAAGCCAGGTAGGCTGGACCTCGCACCCTACTACTTCTTCTTTTTTTTTTTTTTGACTAAGGTCTACGCCCGGTGTGAGGCTTGAACTCACGACCCCGAGAGAGAGTCACATGCTCTATTGACTGAGCCAGCCAGGCGCCCTAACCCCTACCTCTTTTGTTTCCTTCAGGTGGAATTCAGTGGTATTCCATTTTGGGCTGCACAGAGACCCATGATGACTGCTTCAAGAAAAAGACAATGTCTTCTGGAATGCATTTTATTTACTGCTGCCATCACACCCTGTGCAATTTCTGAGCCAGTGGCCAATTTCCAAGTTGGTTGATGGGACAGCCAATCTCCAAGTCTGACCTGGTCATCACAAGACAACAGGCTACCACTAAGGGGCCCTCTGCGAACACCTCAGATCTTTGCAGGTCATACGAGTTGTGGTCTGAAACCAACTCTGGTTTTCAAGGAGCCTCACTTCTTCCCCACCACCGTAAACTCCTCCCAGAAACATCCTTTTCAACACCATGTCTCCTCTCTCCTCTTTCTGCTTAATTCCCCTTCTGGTGATTTCAAAGCTATCAAGAAGTAAAAATGTAATTCCCTGAGTCAAGTTATGCACATTGTCTCTAGTTTATTAGTTTTCTTAAAGATTTCCACATTCCAAAATATGGTTACAAATGAATTGTATCATAAGATGCTAGGAGACATGAAAGTGCTCATTTGGTTTCCAAAGCAAACTGCCTTGCTCTTTGGGGGGTAATTTATAGCATAGGAGAAAGTGATTTAACAAATACCATAGGAAAACTAAGCCACAAATAAGCAAACCAGGCCTGTGAGAACTATGAACCCAAAAGGCAAAGAGCTCAGGCAAGTGCAAGGGTTGGCATTTCTGTCTCCCATCTGCATTATGATTTGTCCAAATTCTGGATTTCCATACCTTAATCACACCTAAGTGCTTTGGCTCACCTAACTTTGGCAGATGAAACAATTCACTTTAAGCAAGGGAACAGGTTCGCATCCACAAGGAATTTTAAAGGGTTCTGAGTATACTTTGACCTGCATGTTCAATTATTCTCATTCAGTGTCCTCCTTATGCAACTGCCAGATTATTGTGTTTCAAATTTTAAAGTTGTTTTTCTCTGTTTTCAGGAGTTTGAGAAATCCAAACGGTAAACAGTAAATCTCAACAAAATCTTCCTTTATTGTCTATTTCTCAGAACCTAAAACAACATCTCACATACAATGGGCCCTCAATAAATGGTTTTTTTCTATAAACTTTGAAGAAAAATAAGCACTTAAAAAAAAAAAAAAGCCCAAGGAAACAAAACATTTCCCTGCACACTCATTTCAGCTATATTTCTTTTTTTTTAAGATTTTATTTATTTATTTGAGAGAGAGAGAGAGAGAGAGTACATGAGAGGTGGGAGGGTCAGAGGAAGAAGCAGACTCCCGGCTGAGCAGGGAGCCCGATGTGGCTGAGACTCTAGGATCATGACCTGAGCCGAAGGCAGTTGCTTAACCAACTGAGCCACCCAGGCGCCCCTCAGCTATATTTCTTAGACCATATTTATGAACTTACTAAGGAGAAAGTTTCTTCATCCTAAGATTTAAATCCATTTGCCACTATTCTGTCATTTTATACATTGTCACATTGTTAAACAGATCAATGAATTTCAGGGAGATACTTTGAATTCTCTTGTTTTTTAAACATATATTATTTACCCAATATCACGGGGAAACATGACAAGATCAGACAATCAGTGACTAAGTCTATAGGCTTCCCAAACTTAATTTGAAATCCCAGTGATATAATGACTAGAGAATAAGGAAGTGGGTGCTGCTCTTGACCTTGGCAAGTCAACTTGGTGTCTCCACACATCATTTTCCTCACATATAAAATGAAGAGGATTGGTCACATAATCTCTCAGATCCCTTCAAGTCCTAATATTTTCTGGCTTGACATTGAACACCTCTTTGCTGTTGTTAGATTAAAAATAAGAATTGGTGTCAGGGCACCTGGGTGGCTCAGTTGGTTAAGCAACTGCCTTCAGTTCAGGCGAGTGCCACATCAGCTTCCTGCTCAGCGGGGAGTCTGCTTCTCCCTCTGACGCCCCCCCCCATGTGCACTCTCTCTCTCTCTCTCAAATAAATTAACAAAATCTTTAAAAAAAATAAAAATAGGAATTGGTGCTGCATATCTAGAAGATAGACCCTGGTTCTATGATCAATGCTTTCCTAGCTCTATGTAATCCAGGAAAATTAAAGGAGAAATCCAAGTCATGACAAGCAGTGACCATCACTGAAGCAGTTTACTACCTGCATGCCAACTGGACCCCAAAGTCACAGAACAAAAACAATTTTCACATCCTTGATGTGGTATGCTGAATAATGCCTCTCCCCAAAGATGTCCACATTCTACTCCCTGGAAGCTGTGAATATGTGACTTTATGTGGCAGAAGGAATATTGCAGATGTGCTTAAAGATTTTGAGGTTAGGAGCTTTTCCCGGATTTATCTAGGTGGGCCAATGTAATCACGAGGGTCTTTTTAAGAGAGGGAAGCAGGAAGATCAGAGAGGGATTTGAAGATGCCAAATGCTGGCTTTGAAGATAGAGAAAAGGAGTCACAAGCCAAGGAAAGTGGACAACCTCTAGAAACTGAAAAAGGCAAGAAAACAGATTCTCCCCTAGAGTTTCCAGAAGGAATGAAGGCCTGCAGACACATTTTAGACTTCTAACACCCATAATTGTAAGATAAATTGGCTTTAAGAAAAATTAGATATAACTGACATATCACATATTAGTTTCAGGTGTGGAACGTAATTATTTGATATTTGTATGCATTACAAAATGGTCACCACCATAAGTTTAGTTAACATCCATTACTACACATAGTTACAAAACATTTGCTTTTTTTTAAAGATTTTATTTATTTATTTGAGAGAGACAGAGAGCAAGCACCAGCGGGGGGATGAGGGGGAGAGGGAGAGGGAGCAGGGAGCTGGATGGGGGGCGGGCACTACACTTAGGGCTCCACACAGGGCTCGATCCCAGGACCCCGGAGTCATGACCTGAGCTGAAGGCAGACACTTAACTGACTGAGTCACCCAGGCGCCCCACAGTTGCTTTCTTTTAACATGATTTGTTAGAGCAGTCATCGGAAACAAATACACTTGATCATGCAAGGTATGGTGGGCGTTTCCCCTCCCTTCAAGGTCAACACACCCAACACTTGGTTCACATGAATCTGATTTCAAGAGAGACATTTGTGTCCTATTATCTTCCTTTCATTCTAACAATTTCTCAGTCATGATTTCCCTTGAAACACACAGATGGCCTATAGACATGCAATCACATCTTTTCAGTCTGCACCGCCCACCCAAGCACCTATCCATTCAAGATTTCTTCAGCTAACAAGTTTATTCTTGCCTACCCCTCTTACCAGTTTATAAGATCACACCAAAGGGCCAGTGGATCTGAGGACCTCCCTTGATCCTCTGAATACCAGGTTAGTTTCCTTGTTAATAACATTTCCCCCCACCCCCACAACTATAATAGAAGCTTCAGTGGTTAATGCCCCTTAATTCATTTAAAAGAAAAGTCTTTGCAGTCAATAAACTGGGGGCATATGGACGATATGTTTTTTGGACATAGCCAAAGGGAAGAGACAAATGATTCCATTAGCAGAGGAGGGATGGGACGTTTTTCGTGCTGATACTCAGCTACAAGGCTTTTGGAAGCTCCAGAGAGAACATATGGTAAATGAAATGGCCAGCATTGCTATCTCCCCCATGAGAGGCAGATGGGGAACCTGTGGTGTGACGTACCATGGATCTTCGCTCCATCACAAATGCCAGTCTCTGGGAGAACCGCTGGGGGAGGCAAGAAGCTGAGTGGGCGTGATGGTGTAACTGACTCCTTGGCAAGCTTCATGTCTCTAAGACAGGAGACTAGGGGGTCAATGAAAGAAGCACAAGAGCAAAGAAATCGAAGGAACAGGATGGTTGACGACTGAGTCTGACTAAAGACTTTGGACAGAAAGAAAAATTTAGGTAATGATGGAGAAGTCTGGAGTCCTGAATGTTGCAAGCTATGTAAATGGGCAGAAAGAAAACACCTTTTCTGGTTTTAATTTTCTGCAGTAAAGGACTTTGTGTGCTAATACTTTTCTGGCTAAAACAGCAGGTTGATAAATACACCACTGGAGACATGGGAGACACCCACATCCTTGGGGAGATCTAGGGCTATTGCAGCACTGACTGATTGTCCAGCAGAGTATACATTCTCTCTCCCAGGCACTGACCCATGTTTCTGCAAGTCCTACAAGTGAAGGCACTAGAGGTGGTTGTACCGGCTGGTGAACACGTATCTCCCACCTCGTGTATCTCATGGATCTTTGCAAATCACCACTAGTAAGTAATGCTAGTAAGTATTTGGCTGAACCTCAAATCCTAACACTCCCAATTAACAGGACAGATACAGACAGGCAGGTCCATAATCTATCCTTCCCATAACTTTGGGGTGTGCGTATATTTTCTACCTTCTCATGCCCACATATAGTGAGTAAAGTTAATAGATCCTGCCACCAGAAAGTATTGTGTAGAATGGCACTTTCAGGCAGAGCCGTAACAAGCAATGTTGGTGCCAGGGCAAGCACAAAATATGCCCTCAAATTAACTTTGTAATTCATGTCTTGGCTCATGTATGGGTGTTATTGATAATACTTGCCATCTGGTAGCTTCTTTTTTAACTATTACTCTTGTTAACTGAGTGTTAAGTGTAGTGATACTGTGTGCATGTGCTGTTGAATCAGTTGCACAATCATTTTAAAAATTGGCACACTGTAAATTTCAGAGCCCTGGGGCATGGCGGCCAGGTAGAGAGTTACAGCTCTGATTATGCAGAGGGAAGAAAGAAAGAAGTAGCAGTCAATGACGGTAGAAATGTGAAGCACAGAGGACTTGTTAACTTGATATTTATCGAGCAATTCTTACATGGCAGGTACAATGGCAGTGATGAAAATACAACAGCGAATAATTTAGATGTTCGTGCAGTTACTTCCAGTGGGAGGGAAGAAATTACAAAAACTGGCATTTGTAACATAATACAGTAGGTCTGCAATATTAATAATTGCAGGATGATATGTGGAGTTCAAAAGGGAGGTACCTACCCCAATGATGGTCACAAAAGACTCTCAAGGGAAGTATGACTAAGCCAAAATCTGAAAGAGAGGGACTCAACCAGAAGAGCTGGGAGGTTGGAGGTTTCTGCTGCTTGAGATCCAGGGTCCTGACTAACACTGAACCTCCCCTGAAAAGCTTAAGGGCAGTGGATGAACAGTTTTTCATTTTAGGAAAGTCATAGTGGCTTCAGTTTAGAAAATAACTGGAACTAGAGGCTAGGAGAGCATTTAGGTTTTTGCAGCAAGCCAGGTGAGAGATGATGGTGGGCCTATAATAGGAAAGTGGCAGTGGGTATCTAAGAATAAAAAATATTTCTTGGGCACCTGGGTGGCTCAGTCGTTAAGCATCTGCCTTTGGCTCAGGTCATGATCCCAGGGTCCTGGGATCGAGCCTCGCATCGGGCTCCCTTCTCCGCGGGAAGCCTGCTTCTCCC